CCCCCCCTCTAAAATCAATTCTCTCCTGGAGAACGTCTTCGTGAGCCTCTCATGATTTCAGGATAGTTGAAACCCTCTTGAACATTCAGAAAGAGTGAATATGAAATTCTAATCACGAAAGGTGTTCCCCGAGGGGATACATACCTAGAGTTTGTTTTGTGAAGCACGTCATTTCTCTCCTGGGGAGCGCTTTCGTGAGCCTCTTATGGTTTCAGGATAGTTCAAATCCTATGATGTTCCGATTCAATGCTCACCGATGATCTGAGCCATGGGGCAAGTTTGTTTTCCTATGTTTTCCTAAGAATCTTTTTGAACATTTCGAGAGCATATGTTTGAACATTTAGAGTGCATATGAACATATATTTACGAAAGGTCGCCTCCGAGGGGATAAATCACCATGTCGAACATTGCATTTTTGTTCCTGCCTCTCGCGTTCTCTTCTCTTCCCGCTGTCCTACCTTTCGTGTCTCCCTCCTCTCAAGTAGCTATCTTCAAGCAAGTGCTGGCAGCGGAGGAGATTTGATTTCTTGCAGGTCAATCAATGCTGGTCCTTCTGTCCCGACCGCAGTGTAGTGGTCCTTTCCCTGGTTCAGATTGCTTTGGGATTGCGGTTGGATGGCCCTCTCGTTGCATGCTTTTAGTGCCAACGGTTTTTGATATCTTTGATCAAGAGCGGTTTCTGCTGATGTTGAATTGCAACTCACAAGTTCAAAGACCAAGAACAGCAGCATTTACAGCAGAATGAGTTCAGATCCATACCAGGTAGAAATAGTGTCAAGTTGCTTAGCGCGAGTGATGTGTGTCGGCCGTTAACCTACAACAGGGTGCTGTATGAGACTTCACAAGGTAGGATGTTAAGCTTGTAAAGCTCCAGGGGCTTTGGCTGAGACACTTTCTTCTCCCAAGGCCCATCCCGTTTTCTCTCTGTAACCTTGATGAGCAGCAAGCTGAGTCAGCCACCTACAGACTTCAAGCCACACTTGTCCTAAGGAGTGCGTGATTGAACACTAGAAGAACATGGATAACTAGAACATGGGCCTCACATTAGTTCTTTCCTTTTGCAAAAATCTCTGGTTTTGATTCGTTTCTCCACATGGCGTGTTTCTCCGTGGACCTCATGGCTTGGCCTTAGACCTCCGCTCCGGGTCTCACACTTTCAGCGGATGGTGCTGCAGAATGGCCGCGTGACTGGGCCAAAATTGGTCCAACAAAGGATGGGGAGGGAAGATGCACTTCACGTCCAGGGGTTCCACTATAAAGTGCGAGGAATACTCTTGGGTCTTTTTAGAATAGTTACGAATATGTATACATATAATCCTTTAACTCCTGATCCTCTTCAAGAGAGGTGGTCAGGTGCCACCACCATCATGATTTGGGAAGCGAACATGAACGCACTATTTAGACTCCATTAATATCCGGAAGCCTGCAGAAAGTGGAAGTGCTTGTTCAACGTTTCCTGGACGAACATTCCTCCTGTCCCATTCCAAAGTGATTTAGACTTTGGCAAATGAGACAACTGCGGAGTCTGAGATCTTTTGCGCCCCACCTCCGCCGTGAGTCTTTTGCGCAGACTGCCGTGTCGGCACGGCCTTCTTCAGGCCCGGTCATTCTCTCCCCGGTCACCCGCGGCAAGGCCAACGTCGGCAAAGGCGTCCTCGGCCTTCGGACCGAGACCCCTGCAGTCGCTGCCGGAGTTGACCAAGCCCTTCCGAAGCTTCGCAGGCACGACAGTTTCTTTTTGCCCGCGCTGTGGGACACGATAATCTTAGTATATTATCAGAATAATCTGTTTTGGTTCATTCTGTTTTGGTCCAAGCTAAGGTGTTTGGGAACCGTTCTGGACTATGACTATGACTTGTCAGTGGTAAAATCCAATGTTGTCGCTCATGGTTCAAGCATGTCATATAGCAAAAAATGGTCTAGATCTTTGAGCCTGATCAGCAATTATTTCTGATAGCATCAGCCTGCCAAGCTAGGCAGATGTGCATGTCACCATGTCTACGATGTCTTTGAAAGCAACAAGATGTTCCAGAGCTTTGTGACCAGGATATGCTGAACAATGCAAGCCCTGCGTCCTGTCACTGGGATGTGGATGGAATTGCATACCTTGGGCAAGGCCTAATCTATCACCGTGGGGTTGTGGGCGGGCAACCTGTGGCATTCAGACTTGTAAGGCTTCTTTGTGTGTACGCTGCAATGAGCATTCGCGACTCGCATCTGCATGTGTTTGAGACTTTAGCAAGCTGGATGAGACATCATTTGTTAGTTGGGATATTTGATCAATCCCTCGATTTGCATCGTGCTCGCATGACCCGGAGGTGGTGAAAGGGATATGAGTTGCTTGGGCTTCGTGTCAACTGAAAAGGGGTTGTAGGTTGTCAACCTACAGGGTTGGTGGTCATTCCAAAAGCCTGAGAAGATGCAAGGAAGTACAAGTTGCCATGTGTTTTGACATGGGTTTCAGTCTCTAAATCAAGGAACTTCCTTTCAAGAATTGGCTGGCTCGACCATCCAAAACAGACTAGTAAAGAGAACGGCTAGCCAGCAGAGGTTGAAGGACCCTGTAGACTATCCCATAGGTGCCCCAGTAGGGTCCTACAAGGTCACTTAACCTCAGGTTGGAGTGGAGGATCACGCTCTATTTTTTCAAAGCTGTTTGATCACGACCTCTTGGCTGAGGCGTGGCTTGGCGTCTCCTCCAACCACTGAGCTCTCTGCAAAGCTGCACACGCTGCAACGAAGGTGGCCCGATCTGCGCTTTCGTGGTGAAAGAAGCCCAGCGGAGCGCTGTTGATGTGGTCAAATGGGTTTGGCTCATTTAAAGGTCTTGGGCCATGTTCTTTTCCCCCCGCAACTTCTTTCTTTTCTAGCTCTTTCTTGTTGGCGGTAACATTGGCAGACATCTGGTTTGTAGCATCGACAGTTGTAGCACGGGTCGTTGGTTTGCGCACTTGGGGCGTCTCGTGACGTGGACCATGTGACCCATCTTCCTGATGATTTGGTCAGGTGCACAGCCACTTGGAAAAGAACGGCAGATGGCTTGAGCTTGGCGGGTGGGTGAAGGCTTGGGCGATGGCGGTGACTTCATGAGTCATTTCTTGAGTTTCATGTGGTCTTCGTTACACCGAAAGGTTTCTGTGCTGATTGTTGCAATGGAAACAGTGATCGGTTTCCCTGGCGAGCCACCTGGCTGATTAATGGGTTGTTTGTCCCGGCCGGTCAGGCGACACAGAAGAATCCGGATGCTCTGCCCAACATGGGATCTTAGACTAGTAGAACAACCGAAAATTTCGCACCTACCACCCCCAAGAACCTATTGTTCGTGTCTATGGATCAAGCATCGGGTAACGCAACCGTTCCACGACATGGAGAACACGAGGCATTTTGCTCCAGACCATCTGCAGACCCTCGTGAGCCACATCATGGAGCGAAAGCTCTTGAGCTCCCGGCACAAGCTGAGGTGAGCTTTGAGCCCACCAGGAACCTCTTTCACTTCGACGTGGAGGTAGACTCTGCTGACGGCGGACGTCGCAGGCTTCGACCCGAGGGTCGACTGGACGAGCTCTGAGGGGTTGGGGTTCGCACTAGTAAGGGAGAAGCTGGGTGATCTTGGAGCAGACTTGATGCTGGGATCACCGGCCAGCTAAACCACCATGCTGCGTGTTTTCGGGTGGGAAGCTAAGTAGGCAAAGGAATCCACAAAGACAGTACACTGACTGGATGATGCCTGTGTGATGATATGATGCATATTCTCGAGGCTTCATGACGGATTCCAGTCACCAGATAGCTGGCTTTGGAGACAAACACAGCACACCTCAAAGGTGGAAGATCATCTCTGCAGAGACACCCTAAGGTCATCATCTTAGACCCCCACTGTGGTTCCGTTTCTCGTTTCGACCAGAGCCACTCCACTCGCCGGGTCACAAGGCCCTGCGTGATCGGCGCGAAAAGGCTTCACGGATTCGGAGCTTCACAGTCGCCCAGGTTGATCAATCCAGGCCGAATCTCCATGCACTTCCAAGACTTTTGGGAGACCTGCCGACGCGCTTCCGCGGTGGCTTCCGCGGCTTCCGCTCCATCCGTTCAGTCGGATGGACGAACTGCACGGGTGGTCGCAGCCTGAGACCTTTGGGGGACGGAGGACCTTTGAGTTGGGAAGACAGGCAAGAGACTCAGTAGATATCGAAGATGTGGATGCTATTTTGGATTCTGGGAGGGACACGTGGTCATTGTTCGTTTTTGGAATCATTTGAGTATTCGTCGATGTTGCTTCAGCTGTACAACAAGGGCCAGAGGTTTGATTCTTTTCTTTACATGATTGATTTCTTCTCTCTGAAGGAAAAAGTAGGATGTACTCAGTGCCATACTTGTACCAATGATGACCTAGTTGCAACCCTACTTCGATTTTGCTTGTGAAAGAGTCTAGTGGCCATGACATTTGCCTCATGGACTAGTTTGTTCAGCCTTCCGTAGCCGTGAAGGAGTCTTGCCTGATCGCATCAAAAATCTCCTGCTGGCCAGCTGCAAGGTGAACATGCCCTATGACACCGAGGATCTACCAGAGCCTGCGAATCCAGAGGTGCGCTGGGCACATCGAAGATATTCGGTTCGTCACTTTTGAGTGTCCCGAACAAAGACTTTGAGGTGAGGAATAGGAAGGAAGCCGTAACAAATAGGTCGTTTGGAGGAAATCGCGTTCGTTGGGACGACCTCGTAATGACTGAGAGTGGCGGCATCGCGGAACTGAGCTCACGGGTTTCCGTGGAACATCCTGCAGAGCTCAGATCCGAGTGATTGGCTGCATGCAAAGGGAAGGGGATGGAAAGAAAATGTTCCTCTTGTGCATCCAGCCCAACTGCTCGAAGCACAGCTGCCATCAACTGCCAAACAAATTCGTATCAGCCGCGGGTTTTGCAGGAGCCACAGGTCTTGGAGGTATCCTTAGAGGAGCTGAAGAATCTGGCACTTTACTGCGTGGAAGATGCTGGAGACTGGGCAGATCTTCTTCAGGACCGGTCTTGTGTTGGGTTTCGGAGTGGAAGTCCGGGTGGATGGATGTGGATGGCTCTCTCGAGGCTTTTGGATGTGTCTCCTTCGTACATTGGGAGGTGGAAAAGCTCGGGTGTTCTAAAGTGTGTGTGCTCAGGTGGGTTCAGCTGTTCATTGTTCCAGGTGGGTTCAGCCGAGGGGCAGGTAGATCAAGGAAAGCAACAGAAAGCAACCGTGACAGCATGTGACAGCTATTAAGTTGGACCCATGTAAAAGTGACTCACAATTTGGACCACTGAGCTGTCCATAAACAACTTCTCCTCAGTTGAAGACAGGTGTGCAGCAAAGCAGTGGCCGTTTTCACTTTCACCTTCACATCGCATGTGCAAAAGCTGTTGTTTGGCCTGATGTCGAGTAGGTGCCGAAGGTCCAAGCAAAATTTATCCTAGAAGCATCAAACTCATGGATTTGCTCTTTACGCAGAGCCACCCTGGAAGATGGATTGATGATATGGCACACAGACACAGACACAGACCCAGACCCAGACACAGACAGAAGTAAAGAGACCTCTGGCCCCAGCCATATAGTTGTGGTACGTTTGCCGCCGCCGCCGCCGCCGCGGCTGCTGCTGCTGTTGCTGCTGCTGCTGCTGCTGCTGGTGACATAGAGCCTCACATGACCACACAAACATCAGATCACACCAACTTACGCCAACAAAACTGACTGTAAAGTTGATGGCTTAGGATGCCCCACTTCTGAATGTAGAATCCAAAACGTAAACCTCCAGCAAATTCAACTAACTCAGGGAATCTGTCTCAGGGCTTCTTCATGTAACACTAGATCTGTCCTTATCTCAATTTCGGGATAGAGCATGTGATGGATATAGTTTCTGCCACCAATCCCCACCACATACTAGATAGAGGTCCCCAACTCGATCCCATCCTTCAGACGAACAGATCGAGTCTCTGAGGACGTCCACCCGGTGGATCCGGCTGCTTGGCTTTTCGACCTCGGGCAGAAAAACGGGCAGAAAACCGGGCGAGGTTGTGGGAAATAGAGACTGGGAATGAACGTAAAACAGAAGACACAGCACTGGCAGCCACGCGTGGTCTTCTTTGGATGCCGTCGTTGTTGGACGTGAACAGCAACCATGCTGAAAACAGAACTCTATTTGGTGAACCCCTCGACTTGCGCGCAACAATGCTCCCTACCTTTCGCTCTTGGACGATTTGGCGCCACAGTAGAGTGTTTTCTGAGCTAATTCTTGGAGGGAAGCACCTCCAAATTCTTCACCAGGCTTGAAAGCTTCACACAAGAGATGACAGGCTGCTTTTTTCGTCGATTTCAGGCTGCTTTGATCCATCCTGAGTGGCAGAGACTACTGCGCGAGCGGCGAATCTGGATGTCCTCTGGAGGTCCACAGGCCCCAGGAGTTAGTTGGGGTCGGAAGAAGACGGCCTGAAGCGAAGACGCAGACACCACTGCTGCTGATCCTCATGAACAGGTTTGATTCAATTCTGATGTTTGGTTTTTACTACTGGACTCTTGGAACGTGGAGATGATACGAGATCCGCGCGATGGACACTATTTGTTGCCATGTCCATACCCTGCCTTTGGTCTTTGGGTCGGGCTTTCGGGCTTCCCACCCGTGGCAGGGCACTCAATCCGTCTCCGCTGGCTTCCATTGGGACCACCTGCAGAACATCCACGTGGTTCTCAGCGGTTCCAAGGAGGCCTCTGGTCACGCCAGTCGTGGTAGGCCAGGTTTGCCCACGAAAAAAGAAGGGGTCAAATAGGTGGGAACATGATGGAATACATCACGGAACATGTGTGTTGATTTGGATATATAAATCGTGTACTCCTGGATGTTGGGTCGTGCGAGCAGTGGAGGGAATTGCATGGGTTTTATTCCATCGGCGTCGGCAGTTAATGTTCATTTGTACCCTTCGTCATTGCGGTCCATAGGAAAGAATTCTAGACTAGACACTTGCTACTTCTTGAGCGAAAGGGAACGTAGACACGTCACCCATTGATTGGGCTTATCCCGGCCTCTTTGTTTCGGGGATCTGCATCTAGCGAACCCTTCTTCATCAGGTCTTCCTGGTAGCTCCTCTACTTGCGCCAGCCTTGTGCCTTGCCAGAGTCTGGGTCGATGGGTGCTTTGAGCAAACCAAGATAAGCTAGCAGCTCCTGATGAAGCCGGGAGGAAAGGGCCTAAAACCGTACACGCACGGCAGACATGCCCAGCTGAAAAATTGCTACTGTGCCACCGTACTCATACCTAGTTGAAGAAGCAACAGGGGCCTGAAGAATTTCCTGGGTAAGGTGGCTGGATGTTCAAGGTCGGGCTGCAGTGCTACTTTAGAAAAAAGACAGCAGTTTGGCATGCACTCGCTTTTCTTTCCAACACCTTTGCAGTGCATTCATGAGACCTGCCTAAACGGAACGTAAACTCCTTTATCCCAACTCTGTGCCACCAAAGCGGTGCCCGATGTTTCTTGAGGTGTGCTACGCGATTTTGTCCACAGTCCCAGTGGCAGATGTCTTCTTCAGGGGGCAGGACCTGCCCTCCAAGTGCCTTCCCTTGGCCCTTGGCCTATGTCTTCAACCATGGCGCTTGCTTTATGGCTTTACATGGTCCAAGGTTTTTTTGAGGGGATATTGTCGGGATGTGAATGGATATAGCGGCCATCTGAAGTCCAATCCTCTGGGTCTGCAGATGGATTTCGGACCAATCAGGTTCTCGGGCCTGCGTGGGCCTCCACAGGGCTGTGGCTATGGGTTGCAACCTAGAATTGACATGAAATAACTCCAAAGATCTCAAAAGCAACGCAAGTCTTTTTTTGCACCAAGTCTGTATCTTCGGTCGACTGTGAAGCTTGGGGTGTTGGTCAAGGGACTGCATCTTCACTCAAGGTCTGAACGGTAGAGAGGGTTTTGGACCATGCTGTGCCCTATGGATAAGGACACCCACCAGTTTTAATGTCTGTAGACTGCTCATCAAGCACAGCGAGTCCGGACACCGGACATGGCTTTGCACATGGGATAAGCTGATGCAAGGGGTGCGATCGAGTGTGCCGGTCACATCTTCTCGCATTTCTTTTTTCTGGTCGCAACGACGACGCTAGACGAGGGAAGCTTCCCTGGAAAGACAAGCGACAAGGGGTGGGACGTTCTTTCTAAGCTCGTCTAAGCTCTGTGAATGGACCGCAGCACAGTGTCAGGCCTCTCACCAAGACACAGAATAGGAAGAGCGGCAACACCAGTTGCACAGTGGCTTTTGGCCGAGGGAATCGGGTGTAGCCTCAAATTTGCACCGGAAATGCATTTTGTGCGACGACTGGGATGACGAGGGGGCTTGGGATGAAATGAAAAAGGACCTGTATGCAGCTGAGAGGTTCCGTATGCTTCTCAAATCTGGGAGATGAGCAAGCTTGCAAGCGAGAGAAGAAAGAGCAGCAAAAGCCAACCTTGAAGAGTCATGGGTAAGTACCTAGCAGGACCGGACTCTCGCCATGTTTCTTTGCGGTCTAGCCAATCTGCATGATGTAACCTTGCATGAAGGTGCTTCAAGAACCCTCCGCACAGCGTGTAAAGCACTGAACTGAAAATTGCTACTTGCCATCAACGTCGCCTGCTGAAGACCTGGCCCCTTTCTTGCCAGAGCTGCTCTGAAGGGCCCAGCTTTGCGGACGGGATGCAGTTGTTTGCCTCATTCCTTCGAACTCGAAATTCCCAGCTTAGCCACCTACCTGTATGCAACACAGGATGCGCGTGGAGAAGGTCGAGATGCAGTCCGCAGCGTCCTCCACAGACTATGGCCTCATTTCGGTTGACAGCTCATATGAAGAGAGCCTCGCCAGAGCTGCATGTCAGCCGCGTTCTACAAGACACTCTTTTTCGAAAGCAGGCCATGCTCTGTCTTGTGTTTGTAGAGTTGTCGGCCATGTTAGGTTGGTGAGGCAGGAAGACATGGTTTTCGTAATGCGTTGATCAGGCTTTGCATGCTTTGGCCAAGGAATCTTCAGCGACATCATCGAATGGCGATCGAAATGAAGGTGCCACTTTTTGGGGGAGTTGGGGTCTTTTGTAAAGATGGTGCTTTCAAAATGACATGTCAGAGTATAGAAACTTCACTCTGAAGGGAGGTTTGCTTCAAAGTATTGTAGTCCTGAGACACGTTTTCTAGCGTGACGCCAAGCCCCATTTTTTTGGGTGAGAAATGGCAACCGGTTTCTTGAGCACCACGCGACCGCCCTTTTCCATTGGACAGGCCTGCTAATTCCTGAAAGGTTGTGGTAGGACATACAGTAAGCCCGCTTCAAAGCTGCCACCAGTGTGCTACTTTTTGGTGGGAGTGCAAAGTTGACTTTCAAAAGGCACAGGTCTTCGGGCTTCATCTTGGTTAGGTTCACAACCCGTTTTGCCTCAACTGCTTATGTTTCCGAAAACGAGAGCGGCATTGCCGCCCATACCCTACCAGGCCCTAGCACCTTGGTGAACCCTCACGGATGGGAACGCGAGAGTCTAGCAACTTCAACGAACAATTTGCCTTTCGTCACTTGATCGAACGCTGCTTTTTGGTCGAGCATGTCGAGCGATGTTGTTTGGCACGCCGCAATCTCGCAGGAGCAACCATTCTGGGTTTCCTTGCAGCCAGGAGATGCTCCTTGTCAATCTGTCCGCCAAGCAACCAAAATTTGGCGTCCCCTTTCCTCAATCAAACTCCAAATTCTGGCCGTATCCCTACGAAAAGATGAGCTGGAGGGTCCTGAGACCCACGCCCTTGTACCTGCTTTGTGCTTGGCACTGATGACTTGTTACTTGCTTCCAATTACGGCAAACCAAACCGCTTTGACTTTCCACATGAAACATTTTTCTCAAAACCCTTCTTGGCTGTGATCACATGGTGGCTTGAGGATGCTGCGCGCAGCGCTTCTCGGATGACCTCCTAAGCCAACCTGATGGAATCATGTCCTCATACGATGTTGTTGACCCCTGTGACTGATGGGCTGGTATGAATGTTTGGGCCCGGGCCTCTGAGAGCTGCTCACGCTTTTCGAACATTTGGGGCAACACCGTAACATGCCATGTGACAATGTGAAGACCAGATACAAGAGATGTCAACGAACGAGCCCCATGAAACCTGCAGCCAACGGGCCGACTGCAGCAAAGCGACGTCTTACGGACTCAACAGTTAAATCCTTAGAAGGTGGACAACTATAATTCAATGCAAGGTGGTGTTGAATCTACTTGAACCTATTCAGGTGCTTCAGTAGAAACAGGGTTGTCCACCCAGATACGGACGGCGGATGAGGTTGCAGATAGAATTGGAGAGGTTTTCGGAGGACGGTGGTCTATTTTTTTCTGTTTTTGGATTTGTTTGTCTCACGTGTTGCTTCTATGGCTTTTGGCTTCTGTTGGTTCTGTGGCTTTTTGGCTTCCGTAGGTTCTGTGGCTTTTTGTTTTCGGTTTCCTGTGGCTTCGTTGGTGTGTGCTCACAACTCCAGAAAGTGCTACCCAGCAAATTTCCGAAGGCCAGAAGGACCCACTTTGGCTTGTTTGGCGTTTGTGACTCTGTGACTTTGGTTTGTGTGGGCATAGGTATCAAAAAAAAATAAAAAGAGCATCAAAAAAATAAAAACAGGATCAAAATAAAAATAAAAAGCGAATCAACAAATTAATATTCCTTGATAGGCCTTTTCTGCTGCTCTCCTGGCCTTGTGGTCTGCGGGTCCTCTGGTAATGTGGTCCCTTGGTCCTCTGGTCCACTGGTCCTTTGGTCCCCTGGTCCCTTGGTCCTTGAGTCCACTGGTCCCCTAGTCCTCCGGTCTCCTGGTCCTCTGGTCCTGTGGTCCGCTGGTCCCCTGGTATCCTAGTCCTTCTGTCTCCGAGCGCTCTGACAACGCCATGTAGGGCCTAACTTCGTGTGAACGCCGTGACTACTGCTACTGCTACCACTACTACTACCACTCCTCCTGATGCTGCTGCTGCTGCTGCTGCTGACTGCTACTGCTACTGCTACTGCTACTGCTACTGCTACTACTACTAACCCAATCATCCTCAGTGGGCTAGAATATTTTTTTTTGATTATCTTTTTATTTTTTTATTGATCCCCGTTGAATATTTTTTTTTTGAGTCTATTTTTATTTTTATTTTGATCCCTTACCCGTTTGTGTGGCATTGGGCGTTGGTGGTTTCTGTGGCTTTTGACTTCTGTGGCTTCTGCAGCTTTTGGTCAAAGGCTTGTGTGCTTGTGTGCCTTTGTGTTGGGTTTGGTTTTGGATTGCTTGCTCGTGGTGGTGCTCTCGGATTTCATGGCTAGCGGCTAGAGTTTGATAGCTTCTTTTGTGGGCTTTTAGTAGCTTCTTGACGAATTTGACACTGGGTGGTATGTCTGGCTTTGGGCTGATGTGGTTGCGGGTTGGTTCTTCATGGTTTGCTTTGGGTCTCGTGGACTTTGTTGGATTTTGATGGCTTGGTTTTGATTGCACCTTTTTATTTTTAGCTTTTTGGTTGGGCCGCCCGGCCCCAATCCCTCCAGTTGATTCCTGCCAAACCAAGTCAACTAACCTCCAGAACAAAGTGCGCTGCCGAAATAAAGCCAAGTTCGCCACCACAGAGAACTGCACACTCCTCAGAGTCACTAGGCGACCACACTGCTGGGAACCTTCCTGAGACCCTGTGGGCTTATAGAGGCCTAGCATAATCTTTTAACATAACAGAACAAGATTCCAAAACTAACTGACTACTTGGTAGGAGGCGTTGCAGGATTCGGTGCAAATGATTCGAAACAAGGCCCGTGTTGAATTGTGTGACGTCCTGGTCTTAGGCCATCTTCATCCCACCGGGCTGGTGGCATTCGATCCGCACCTTCCGTCCTGACAGCAGATCTGATGGACTGCCCTTCGCGTTGAGCCTCCCGGTAGAGAAGAGACTTGATGACAAGGTCAACATACAATATCTTTCAAGTTGGCCGATCTGTGTGTTGGGCTTTGAACTGGCTATAGCTGAGCTGTGGCTAAACTGAACTGAGGAACTCCGATCGAATCACTTTCATGGTCCAACAAAGTTTGGGGCCAGTTGTTTTGGCTCTCCTAATTTGCCAAGTATAGGCCAACACCTGCAGGAAAGGCCAAAGGTGTGAATTAGCCAAATGACCGAGGCATGAACTTCTGGTACGAGCTATCAGCGGCACCCTGGCAAACACAAAGGTTGTCGACTGCCAAAGTTTTGGGCTTTCATCACGTGGGGCATTCAGCAAAGAAATGACACTTGCTGCCAACATACTGTTGGACATTGTTGGACCCTGTTACCAGCAAGGGATAGTGTATCTATACTGTTTCAGGTTTCTCTATCTCCAGCATCTGAATCTAGACTCTCTTGAATTTTACAAAGTGTTGCTTGCCAAAACCCACCCGCGCAGGAAGCGAAGGCAGCGCAAAGTGCGGTGCTGATGACCCTGGAGATCCTCTCTCGGCAACGAGCTGTGGCTGGAGTGCCAGAGGACTTCGTTTGGCATCTGGAAATTGGCTGTGTGTGTGTGTGTCTCTGTCTCTATCTCTCTTTCTCTCTCTCTCTCTCTGTCCCTCTCCCTCTCTGTTCCTCTCCCTCTCTGTTCCTACAGGTTCTGCCAGGTTTTCAGCCAAGAAAAGCTTTGGGCGGGTGTCTCAAGTAAGTAGACCAGGCCTCAGATTCCCAAGATAGGTTTTTGCAGTTACCTATCCCCGAATATCGCCCAAAAGCTGCTGAACATGTGTTTTTTTGGCTTGAATGTTCACCGCTTCACCATCCGGATGGACAGGAGCACATCAAAGAGCTTTTGGAGCGGCTGGGGGTAGACGAAGTGGAGATGGATGAAGATCGTCCAAGCCACTTCGAGAAGGTCGACTAATCCTCACGAACCGAGCAGAACAAGAAGAAAAGGGACCAAAGACCTGGAGGTTGTTTGCGGGTTCTCTGGGGTCTCCCATGTGTCTCCCATGTCTGATGAGATGGATTTTCTTCCGTCACCGCCTAACAGAAGTGGGTTGATGTGTTCTATTGGGAGAGTCCTCCAAGGCAAGGTGGATTGGGACATGTGATGCGGATCAGTGGCAGTTGATGTGCTCTTGTGTTTGAGAAGGGATTCATTTGGAGTTGGGGCATATCGGAAAGGGCTCTTGAGGCCGACAATCAGAGTCTGGTTTCTTTACTGTTTGTCGCTTGATTTGCCAATGACACGGCACGCATTTACGGCAACAAATCTATGTCGTCTATGCCTCTTGTTGGGTGTGGCTGATTTGGTAAGGACCAATAACCAACTGTCAAGAGGACACGTATTGCTTTGCATTCTGATCGTGGCTGCACCGCAGAATTCTCTGTCAGCCTGAGAAACTATGTGTAGAAGGTGTCAAGTGGTGGTGGATGGACTCAGGCAAACAAGCACCCAGCTTCAGCAGATTAGTAGCAAGATTGGCCAGCGATTCCACTGAAAAACAGTGAGCGATGGCACGGGGCAACAGAGAAGACTTGTCCGAGGCACATGCGGCAACCCCCCAGCTCTACTCTCTAGTGCCTTGCCAACTATCAACAGATGCCCATTCTGGATGTTGAAGGGGCGATACTCAAAAGAATATCAAAAAAATGTATCAATCCCAAGAAGTGTTCAACCACCTTTCTGCACAAAATTTGGCTCGTTTCCTTCTTCGTTGGACTCGTCACTCTGAAGACACGCCTAGAGCTCCGTCGCTTTCGAGGGAAGAATCGCCCAAAGCTCACCTCTAAAGCATTTCCGGGTTTTGCATATTTCAACTGAAAACATGGGCCTGAAGTAGTTTCAATCCTGGCTTTCATGTGGCATGTTATTTCGATTCCCAGAAATTGTTGCCAAACAGCCTGAAATGCGGGTGATCCCTCCTAATCGTATCCCCCAGCATCAGCTCCCTACTCTTCAGGTATCCTGACACATGGCCACCTCTTTATCTGCAGTCCCGTCTACCTTTTTGGTTGCCCACGCTACACATGTCTATGATTTAGCGAGGTATCTTTAGATCCAAATATGATATCAAAAGACATACAATATATATTTGGTATACAGTATCATGCCCATGTATCATTATAGTTATTTCCAACGCGTTTGTAATACAACAGGGGGAAACACATATACTTCTATATGATCAAACATAAGAATATTTGTTGACTTATTGATTTTATCACACCATTTGATGATAAATCCGATTCTATACCCGATATTTTGGTCTCTTTCTCTTGTTCTGAAGAATGTGTTGGCAAGTGATGCTTTTTGTGCCCCTGTGTGGCCAGGGTTTGCTTGGTGGTGATGGACAAGCCGTCTCCATTGAAGATCTCCATCGACAGGCCACTCAAGTGGCGGCCTTAGGTTGGGCTGATCATCAATCGATCCATTCCTTACTGCAGATGCGTTGTGAAGCTTTCATGGGTGAGCTGAGCAGCTGCGCACCGCGATGAGCTGCTTGCGGGTTTGATTTGGGGATTTCCGGAGCTGTCAACGCTTGGAAACCTTTGGAGCTGCGCGCGCACGCGCGCGCGCGCGACCCCCTCCAGAGAGTTCCGTATTGGTGAAGAAGTCGGCGAAGCTCGGCCGTGACGCCTCTTGATCGAAGCGAGAAGCTCGTGAAGCTGGTGCCAGGGTGGACTGAGATCGCAGCCCCAAAAAAAGGTGCTTGAGAACTGCATCGTGGTGTGTGTCACAGTGTCTGTTAGGTGCTTTCTGGCATTGCTGTGGTCACGGTGTCTCAGCTGCAAAGACTGCGCAGGAAGGGGGCGACCGAAAGAGAGAAGTTTCCAGCAGTTACGGGAGACCTTTTTCAAAAAGCCGTCGTACCAGTATTGAAAAACCTTTGCAGGAGGTTTGTTTTTGTTCTTTCGGTGGTTGACTTCATGCAAACATCTAAAGAACAGACCTGAAGCAAAACCTTGAAGTGTCCTGATGTCGGACCGCTTCAGCAAAACCCGACCGCATGACTCGCTCACCCAAGCCCCGTATCCGACCCCAAGGTGTTGACCACTGGTGCACTGACGCTCCTTGTGCCAGAGCTCTTGGCTTCTGGCTTGTTGGCCTACACCATCGGGCAGCTTCGCCTTGGGCTTCAGCTTAGCCGAACGGGCTTTTGTTTTCAGGTTGCCCCGTTGCGTAGCGTCCGTGCGTAGTAAGGCCAGGAGCCCCTAGGTGTCCTCCAAAATACTGGACTGGTCTTTTCGGTGTGTTGTCATAGCCCAGACACTCCATGTATGGCATATATTATATACCTACATTGGGGTGGTTTGGGGGGTCAATGTAGCCATATGTAGCCATATATGGCATACATGGAGTGTCTGGGTAGATTCACAGCTGCTGTGAAGCCTTTCTTGCACCAAAAAGACCATTGGATGTACCATGATGTACCAGTAGCCTGCAGCATTGGAATCGCACATGCGTTGTCCAAACATCAGAAGAGAGGTGTGATAGCATATAGATCGGTGCAATGATGACACTTCCGTCATGGCCATCTGATAGATGAAACAGACCTTCGTTGTGAAGTTATAGACATCGTGCCCCCGACACAAAGATCACCACCACCTGGTGCGCTGCTTTGGAAAAGCCGTCCAATGAGCCGCTCCCACCTGGAAAAAAAGCGGAGACATGTCTTCTTCTTCCACCGAGGCTTCGACATGCCATCGATGCAGATCATATTGCGGCCATTGACAACATCACCAAAAGGCATCGGCATGGGCCCCGCACAATGACGACCGATGCCTCCAAGTCGTCCTCCTCGGGGCGTCGAAGCCGGGGGTGTGGAAACCGGGTCGTCGTGCCGGTCGACGGTGCGACTGTCGACGGTCCAAAACGGACGTCGAACAAAGAAGACGGTCCAAAACTGTTGAAGACGGGGGTACAGCACCGGTGGTATTGAGTCTGTTTGTAGTATACGGTCAAGACTTACCGTCAAGTGGACAATACAGCTGATTCCAGCTGTTCAAATGCCCTGACTGAAAAAGACTATGATTTTTGAGGGGGTTCCCAATCCAAAGCACATTTGAGATTGGTGGTTCCCTCATATTTAAGGTTCGGGTGAGAATGAGCAGACTGCTGAGTAGACCAGCTTCCACGGGTAACCCCCGCTTGATATGTGGTAACCCCCGCCTGGTTTTTGATGTTTCCAGGTTCATGTTCACTGCTTTGTTTGAGGCCGAGACTTAACTCAGAAAAGCCGGACACTTCCATCCGACGTGCCGTGCTTCTGAGCAGTCAAACTAGGTATACCACTGGCAGTCGCCTGCAGAGAAAAAAAACATCAGACACATTTTGTGCTGTCTGAATCTCTGAAGGCAGAAGTCACACCACCCTGTAACACCAAGCCGCCCTGACGCGTCAGTCTCCTTCGCTCGAGCAAGTTACATCCGCCTGGTCTGGTCCCGACGCGAGCGGTCGTCAGGCTGACGACCCTGAACAAACGCTCGGCGATGGCGGGCTTTTTCTTTGCTTTGGGGCATTCCACAGTGGTGCTCATTATGCACCTTGGTCAGTTACGGATGTGGTGATGGATATGCACGTTCGATGCACGTTCGTGGCACCAAAGCTAGCTGAATCGGTAGTTCCGACCCAAGCCGCTGCGAGTTCTTCTGCAGGTCACTTTTCTTCTGTAGATTGCCGAGCAGAGCATTCTTTTTTGTGATGCCAGGTATTGTAATATATATATATATGTAATTATATATATAAAGATTGAGATGAGGACGTCCAGCTTTTCTGAACGAAGGGCGGCTGGAGAAACAGATCTGCACAGGCAACTCAGACGGGAGCGATGATGGCGCTGAGGTGTGGCTTCGTGGCTGTAGGCCGAGAGAAGGCCATGGACCATTTGACGCATCCTGATCGGCAAGAGCAACTCGAACCGTCCCGTGAAATTTGGAGTTTCTTTTGAGCATCGCTATTAGTAACATCTGCATCGCTACTAGTACCAAGGGCATCGCTAGTAGTAGCTAAAAGCTACTAGTAGCTAGAAGCTACTAATTAGTAGCGATGCACTTGTTTAAAATAGCGATGCCCTGGTTACTAGCATCGAGGAAACGGGTGGTAGGAGATTTGAGCTGAGCACTGAGCACCTTGAAGAGATGAGTCTCGTGAAGTTGGATGTGCTCTAGGAGGTAAACCAGAATGGACAGTTCATCTGATTTTTGATGGATGAGATTGGCTTGTATTTGGTGGAGTAACCTTTGCAAAGGTGGCATCAATTCCACACAGTTCTTTCTGTGTTGTTCTCGAAGCGGGTGGTGCTCCTCGGGTCGCCCAAGAAGAACGCCTGTGCCCATTTGACGTCAGAGACCCACCGTTTTTGGGCCACGAAAGTGGGAGCCGCAACCTCTGACCCAACCGGACACCTTGGGGAAAACTGGAGCCTCCACGCGGGGACACCGAGCTCGGAGCCCCCGGACAGCGAAGCTCAAGGTCCATGACGAAGACTGGAACCGTTCTCGGAGGACTCTTCTCTGCCTGTCTCTCGGAGGCTATGCTTGAAGGAAGATGGAAGCGAACAACGCCGGGTGCGGGCAAGCAGGAGATGGAGTGGAAAGCCGATCTTCAGTATGACTGGCCTTCTTTCCAATGTAGAGGATTCATAGAATAGATAGATAGGGACTGTTAGTGGCTTCGAAGGTATTTCTATTTTAATACAAGGCGTTCGCTTTGAACTGCTATTAACCCTATTCGGTCCATCCGACCATGCCCGAGCATGGTGGAGAGGTGGCGACTTCGGAAGAACTGAAGAGCAAATTAGCACACATCAGCAAACTCAGCGACATCCACACGACCCAGACTCTTTTGAGCTGGCAAAGCTTTTGCGCGAAGATTGATGTCATGAGCGTGGGTTCCACGCCACCGCTTATCCCTTTGTCTCGACTCAATGAGATCTCTGTTCACATCATCGCCGGGTTGATCATGAGCCTGTTCTTTTTCTCAGCATGGTGAAGGGTGCTGGTGCCAAAGTGCAACCAGATGTTTTGTTTTGAAATTCCTCCGTGTGCTTTCTCACAGTCTTGGTCATTTCTTGAGGCCCAATGATTGTTGATTTGCGCAAATCTAGAGGCACGGTTTACAGGCCAGTAATTGGTGTCTCAACATCTAGCACCCCAAAACCCTCCCAACCAGATGGGCAGATCGACAAACATTTGTTTTGTTTTTTTCGTGTGGCTGGACTCATGGTGGGCTTCAGCTCAACGCCCAGGCTTTCTTTTGGGTGTGGGTGTCGGGGCCTCGGGCCGACCCGGTGGGGGTGACCATTTGGGAGACGGAGCGGTTTCGTCAATCCGAAGAGCAGCATAGGTGGCAGCTATTCTAATACATGCTGCCAGTAGATGCCTGAACTGTGTTCAAAGGCCCGCAGCTTTCGCCACATGAAAAGATCAAAGGCTTCTTTGTTTTTTCGAAGCTGGGATCGGTTTAGCTTGTGGTGCCCAAATGCTCTCTTGTTTGCAAAAGAATTTGGCTGAAGATAGTGGGAACAAGCCGGGAACTTTGGGAAGCGTTGGAAGGAACCAACTGCCAAGACCCAACTTGGAAGGTTGGGCGATTGTTCTGAGATCCGGCGGTCTACTTCTGGCTACATGGGACGATGTCTGAAACAAAATTTTGGTTGGAGTTGTTACTGTAGTTAGATTTTGTTGGTGATTTCAATTTCCAAAATTCTTACTTGCTATTCTATGGGACGAATGACACATTCATATATACATATATATACCATACAATCCCAATTCCAATTACCCTGTTTATCAGGTAGGCTGAAACCTCCAACGAGATGTTGCCAGCGAAGCTCTCAAGCTCTTAGGTGCTCAACACCTGCACCATGAGAGAGTTGCTGCAAGCCTGGAAGGCACCGTCCTCGGATGAGAGGCTATCTGAGCCCTAAAACATGGCGGGGCCAAGAAGCGTTCGCTGAAGGAAACCATGATGAAATTTGTAAGTCAGCTCGTTTGAGACGCCCGTGAATCAGTCATGTTAGTCAGCTCGATGTTTTCTTGAGGATTGGGGGAGACGACCTCGGGCTTTCAAAACAACAGGGATCTCTTGAGCGACCGAAGTTCGGAAGGCGTTTTGCACTTCAACCCACTCCACTAGAAAAAAACCCGGGGTGTGGGTATACTCGTGGCCCAGATTGGCTCAGGAACAGGCCAGAAACTTGGATTGCAGATACTTGCAGATGTTTTCTCATTTTTCTGCATGCGTCGGGCGACGAGTTGTCCCAGTGCTGTTCGTTCAGTTCGCCCTTTACAGTGCGGCATTTTGATGTTTGAGATGGGCAGATGAACCTGCCAAGATCATGGCAATCAAATGCAATCAACCATTTCAAATAATCACAAAAACATAGCCCTTCAGGTTGTCGTTCTTTTTGGGGTCAGGCAGCAAAAACCTCTCAGATCATGTGTTCAGCTTCGTCAGCTTGGCGACAGCTCCTTAGCTGAGGATATGGAGAACATGAACACGCCGTGGCGGGGCTATGTATGACCTGCTGCCCCAGCTTGTTCACGGGTATTACCTCTTCTTGGCAGATGCTCCCCTCATGCATATGTGGCGGGATAGTTCTGTGTTCAACGGTTGGGAACTAGGATGCTACTTTGAAGCTTGCGACAGTGGGAAAACTTCGCAGCTGTTTGTATTAAAGGCCAACGGCCCAAAGGCTCCTGTTCATCCCTGATGGTGTTGCATGGTGGGTGGCTGCACAGCACCAGCCACATCCAACAGCCAGATCGACAGTCTCGTCCTTCTGAATTCACCTGTTTTTCGTGGAAGTTTTGGCCGGCCCGAAGGTCAACTAACATCTTTTCCCCAAGTGTTTGTGGTCCCTCTGTGTATCCAACATTTGCTGTAGTTCCCCCCCATGTCATCCGTGCGTCAGGTATCCCGTGGGCTTCCTCTTCGGCCTGAGCTTTGATACCTCCAGCGAAATCGCACTTTTGGCCATGGCACCTTGGTCTCAGTGGATTCCCGTGCATGATGGAGAACACGTTTCTTGTTCAGATCAGAGCAGAAGAGTTTCGTTGAACGGACGTGTTTTGAAGACTTCCGGCTGTTTGCTGTAGTTTTCGTGCAACTTGCTTCAACTTGCCAGTTGATCTTCCAGTTGATCTTCGAGACCCCCAAAAGAGCTCTTGATCAGTTGCGTTGTCAAGCAAACAGAACATCTCAACGACACCTTCTGTGCTTCTTTTTGGGACACCTTCTGTGCTTCTTTTTGGGACACCTTCGGTCACCACCGGCTCCTCGAACCCGCAGGGGCCTTTCTCCCGAACGCCGGTCTGCCGGTCGTGGGCACCGGTCCTCGAGTCAGGTCGGGCTTTCAGGCGACTTGCCCCACCCGGCCACTCGGTGGCCCCGTCGAGGGGAGAGTAGAGCGTCCGTCACCGAGTCAAAGCGGGATCGGTGATCTCGGTGCGTCCGAGTCGGCTTTTTTCGTAGCATTTGGGGTTCACTGGACCAGGCTGGGGTGGGAACTCGGGACCCGAAACAGGTGGTGAATTCAGGTGAATTCAGTCCCCAGGCTGTGTTGGTTTGTTTGTTCGCTTGTTTGTGGGTGGGGTGGAGTTAAAGGGCCTCCCTTTACGCACCACTACCGCCCACCAACATAGCAGAGTGAATACTGTTTCGTCACTTAGGCTCTTGCCAAAGCATGATGCTGAAATTGCCATGCTCAGTCGCTGGTAATTGATGGTAATTGTAGCCAAAGTTAGTTTTGGCTGGCCATCGTGCAGCAACTGCATCATCGGCATGTTCAAACGTTTCGTGTCCGGCAGCTGTTTGTGGGTGTGCAGGTCAAAGCTGCGCGATTGAACTCGTTTCTGAATGCTGAGGCATATGTCATGATCCTCCCCTTCATGTTTTTGACTGGAATGTGCTTGATCGATACCTTGAACGGCCTTTTCATGGCTTGGCTCTATGGCAAATCCTCCAGCACTATGCAGCGCTTGCAGCTGGGAGTCCGAACAGAGGATCGGGGGTTGATCGTTGGGTGTTGGACTGGTGCTGTGTCCCAGCAGGAGAAGGACATGGTCCTGAATTTGGAGAGGCGCACCCATGCAAGGGACCGGATTGAATAGAACTTGTGACCCCGGCGGTTGGGCATTCTCTTCCAGCGAGTTCTGACTCGAAAAAGTATACAGTCATTCCACGTCATTTCCTGGCAGCTTTTGGAGGCGGAGGTGTTGATTTGAAGGTCACCGAACGAAGGTTCGCACGGGTATAGGTGTTGTATCAAAAGAGAGACAGATCAGATCATGATAATTCCGATTTAGGTTTGGATTGTGGCAATAATATGCCCGGTGCCCTTTTGGAAAACAGCTTCATGCAAATCCTGCGAACAGGTCTTGAGGTGAGTGAGACCACATCTCAAGCACCTCCCGCATCTGGAGCATTTCCTAGACTTTGTGACTGTTCAAGTCGCTCCGTTCAGCCCGCTGGATCGGTAGATGTTTCCACTTGGAGCATGGATCTGAATCCGGGTGAACAAACCACCAAACGGCACTGACTGAGCAAAAACGTCGCCCTGGAGGAACATATACAATTCTAACAACGACATTAACAAACACATGTACGCAGAGAACATTCAAAGGCGATCGATGATCGATTCCGCACTTCGTCCTGGGCGTGCTTGGAGCGTTCCGCTTGTTCCCGACTCCCCAAGCTCCAGCCTGCTCCTTGCCTCCGAAACTGCGACTCCCTGTCCGTTGTAAAGGAAGAGGTGAAAAGGCCCAGCTAGATTAGCAATTCCTCCCTAAGTCCATAATACACTTTTGCGATCCAGATCGATTGGGGTTAGTTGAAGCAAACCGATTGTGACAGGTCTCTGACTCGGTTCCACCCAACAACGAGTTGACTGTGTCGATCAAGCATACAGAAAACGCCGCCAATCTGCTGCTACAGCATGGCCTCGACCGCAGCGCATGGCTTCGACCGCTGCCGCCCCAGGTACTTCAATATTGTCCTCACCGGGGCGACTGCAGCGAAGCTTCGGCTGTGTCGATGTGTTGACAAAAGGGACGTCGAAACGGGCCTTTTGGTGGTTTGATTGGACATATTGAGGACAAGAAAGCGGGTTTTAGTGGCTATATGGCCATGAGTCAAGACGTTTTGGTATGGAACATGTACTCTTGAACATCTCGTTCCATACCCCGTTCCATACCTGTGGTACAGCATGTCTGTTTGCCGTTCCATACCCATCGTTCCATACCTATGGATTCCTAGTTTGCAATTGTTCGAGGTTCAATCAAAACGTGCGCTTTGCTTGCTGAAATACATTTACCGTGAGAAACGGGACTGAGATGACACGTCAGGTTTTTTGGTACAATTTGTTCCATACCCCCGTTCCATACCTGTTCCATACCTTATGGAACAAGGGATCCGTTCCATACCCTCTGGAACAGGAAGGTGCGCGATGTTTACCTGAGACCCGGGGTTTTGACGCACACCCATATATACCATATGCAAGCGGAAGAACTGCTGCTACTGTGCCCGAGTACAAATGAGGGGACAGTGGAAGGAGTCGGCGGATGCGACGGCAGCAAGCGGTCGAATTGACTCCTGTTTTCACTCTTGGACCTCAAATGACTTGACAGGTCGGTAATCGGAGCTGCGAGTCCACGTGGCAACGTGCATGCCACCTCATGCGTTTAGCTCGCATTCTGGTAGTGGAAAGTGTTTCAATCATTCACAGAAAAACAGAAACAACCACGGCCAACCAAGCAATCACTGAAGTGAGTCGATGTTGTTTTGTTGTTGGCTTTGTTGTTGTATGTGGTCTTCGGCTGTTGCGGTGTCCTGGAGAGGTTCCAGTCCCTGTTCTTTGCGCTTTCGCGCTGAGCTCATATGGATGTCCTTCACTATCTTCCAGCGTTGCTTCATATCATAGAACATCATCAGCTGCTTCATCTCATGTTTCGTGAGAGAGTTAGCCAGCTGAGCTTCTGAGTGAACCCATCGGATTTTCACACCATTGCGGTGTTGAGCATATTTGAGGCTGAGCATATCCAAGTCGGTTCTCCGTTCATGGCCCTTGGTGCACACTACCTCGGAAGAGGTCTTGTCGAAGACATTGCGTGAGTCGGTGATCACACATCCAGGGATGGAGTTGACTGCTCTGTTGATCTGCCGTACGTCGATGTCCTGGCCAAGCATCTCTGCAAATTGAAATCTTGCAAAGAAGAGAGAGTCTTGTGCGTTGACTGCAGCCACTGCTTCTGCTGCTCCTGGGGAGCGACATACTCGCTGGATCTTGGAGGACTGCCAGAGGATCGGTGATATGGTCTCACTTTGTCCTGTCAACAAATTCACACTGGCTGCTCCAATGAAAATACCCTGAGTGCTGCCACCATCAACTCTGTTTTGTGCCGCTGCGTCGCACCAAGCAAACAAACCTATCCCCTGTGAGTCCAGCTTAGGAATCCAAAGGCGATGTTCTTTGCATGTTTTCACCTGGTGCATCAGCTTGTTGGCCCTGTTGAGAGTGTCCACTGTACTCTTGGTCACTTCGGACAGGAGCAAGCCTGTCTCGGCGGAGAAGTGTGGGGCCACTTGTTGTGCATGCCAGCTAACTCCTCCTAACAAGGCACGTAGTTGACCCTTTTCATGGTCGTCTGTGGCTGCACGCTTGTCCTTCTTGCGATGTGCTCGAATGTTGATGTACTTCAGGTCCTCCACATAGCTCTCCTGAGACAAGGAGTAGGAACCATCCGAGTGGGCCTCAACCTTGACTCCACACTGAACAAATGTTCCGGATTCCCAGTCTGTCCATTTGTACTCTTGCTTGATTGCTGCCAGGACTGACTGCCAAGCTGTGGAACTCTCGTTGCCTGAAAATACAAAATCATCCACATGGCCAGAAATGATACCTTCTAGCTGGTTATTGTGGGTGAATGTCCAACAACAAGGATCTGCCCAACATCGCTTGAGCTTGAGTTGGTTGAAGAAGCTGCTAACTGAACGATACCACTCTAGTGGGGCATCAACCAAACCATAGCAGGCCTTTTTGACCCGGGTAATTGTCTCAGCTGGGAGTCCCATAGCCTCCAGTATTTCTGGACAGGGAATGCATAGGAGCTCTTCTGGATATTGTCTGGACTGGAGGAATGCTCCTGTGACATCTCCTTTGTGAGTTGTGAAGCCCTTGGAGGCAGCTATGGTCAGCTGGATCTGGCGGGTCTGCCGTGTCGTGGTGGGTGATGCTGTTGCCCTTTGCTCATAGTGGGGATCCATATACCCCAGCAACACTGCCCTGGCCTTCGCCTTGGAACCCCCATTGGGAAGGGACTTCCAGGTCAGGATCCACCTCATACGAATGGCATCTTCCTTCTTGGCTCGATAGCCCTCAGGCAGTGCTTCAAAGGCCTTTGCTGACAGGAAGTTTGTCACTTCCACGTTCTTGGCCTTGCCGAACTCAATCTTCTCTTGTGGTGTCATTCGTCTCTCCGAGATCTCTATCGCTCTCTTCTTCATGGCGGACACCAAGTAGCCTGACAGGTCTTTCATAGCTCTCTCTGATGCTCCTCGAGACTGTGGCATCGTAATGGAGATAGCTATCATGGCTTCTTCTTGTGACCAGTAAGCAGGTGTCTCCGTGGTCAGGAACACTCCTTCGGAAACCTGGCTTGTCCAGCTTTCGCCTGTCACAAAACCTACGGGTGGCTCTGGTCCTCGGCTTCTGGACCGGTGTGTGTGTGGTCCTGTTGGGAGTGTGGAGATGGCCTGTAGTCTTCCGCTTTGTCCCTGGCGAGTCGCTCGAGGGATGTTTCCTCTCGGTTGGCGACTCGTGGGATGGGACTGCGGGATCTGCCGGCTCGTGCACCAGGTGGTGCCGGTCTCCAACGACTGCTCTCGGGGCCCTCTGGACCAATTGTGACTGGTTCCTCCCTGGGATCTGGTGGTCGGCCACGTTTTCCCCACTGGCGGACTGTTGGTTGCCACTCGTGTTGGGGGTCGCTGGCCCGTAGCCATTCTTGTTCTGGTGGTGTTTCTGACCAATCCTCATATTCATTTCCCCCAAGTTCATCGGCAACTCGAGGAAAGTCCCATGCTTGTGGTTCATCTGCATGGAGGTCTTCGATGAGTTGTTCCTTCTCGGACGCGTGCCTCAACTGTTCTGGGCAGCACTTCAACAGTCTTCTGCCTCGTACCAGCCACACGGAGGAACCTGGTACGAGATGTCCTTGGGTGTCTTTGTGCTGCTCGGTGGCCAGGATCCTCGCCGGGCCCACAAAACGTCCTTGAGTATCATTCGATGGCTTTGCGTCCTTTCCAGTGACTTGTCGTCGCCAGATGAACACCAGGTCGCCAGCTGAAAAGTCCAGCACACGTCGATGGCGGGAATTCAGTGCTCTTGTCATTCTATCTGCACTGTTCCAGTCAAGGAATGCTTTTTCTGCAGTCAGCCTCAGCTCCTCTGAACGTTGGTGTCCTTGTGCGGGACTCTCTGACAAAATGTCTGGGGATGCTGTGCTGTCTGTTGTGAAAAATCTTCCTGTATCATCGGGTGCACGACCAATCACGTGTTGTAGAGGGGAGTATCCACGAATCACCTCACGACAGTTCAGCGCCCTCACACTTTCTGCGAGAGCGTCTTCCGGTGTGCTGTCGGGGTGAGTGGTCAACACTTTGATGAGGATGGCTTTGATGGACTGCAAGCTACGTTCACAAACACCCAACTTCCAGTGTGCTTCACCGGGGATCAAATCCAGATAGATATGGTGCTGGTCACAGAATTCGCTCAGTTCCCTGCTCCTGAAAGCTCCATCAGGATCTAACCTCAACACTCTGGGGGTGCCGAAATAGCTGCACCATGCTTCTTTCAGTGTGGTGATGAACTGTGCGGCCGACAGGTGTTTCTTCTTCCCCTTCAAAACCACTCGTGACACCTTAAACCTCGAACCTTCGTCAACCACAACCAGGAATTGAAAATGTTCCCCCGTGTGCGGATGGACCATGTGACCAACGTCGGACGAGATCGTGTCAAACTTCGGAGGTTGGGGTTCCAAGGCCGACAAGTTCCGAGGATTCGGACGAGCACGCTCCTCACACGTGGAGCATCTAAATTGCTGGGCGGCTTTCA